TATACTTTGTAACCCAATATTTTTCTCAAGGTAAAACAGAATAATGTTAAATTATGTTTACTGATGTTTGCCTTTATTTTGCAACTTTAAACTTCATTTTTTAAATTATTATTCCTGGGATTTTTAGAAGGAAGTTTCTTACTAAAACCTTCTGGTCATGAAAGACTGAATAGCTGCTAAGCTACCCTTCATTTTCTTATGATAATTTGCATGGTTTTATTAAGTTCTGAGGTCCCAGGCTTTGAATTAAAAAGTCCAAATGGTGTTCCTTTTACTTATGTATCCTTCCCACCCCCAGAGCAGGCTGGGTGCAGGGCTGTTTGCAATATGATCCAGCACCTTCCTCATATAACCAGACAGTCTAGAGTGTTGAGCAAAGGTGGCTATTGAGCCCCAATTCTTTCAGAAATTCAGAGGTCCACCAGAAGCTCATCTTTCCTCCATAGATCCATAATATGGATGCCTCTGGCTGACAAGTGAAATTTTTATATAGCACACCAACCATCAAAATGCACAGGACAGGAAAGCATGCTTTATTGTGATAGCAGGAACATGCAACCTATATGCCACATGCTGTTAATGTGAGCCAAGGTGTGTGCTTGTAAATAAATTATATAGGATGCATCAGAAAAGTTGCAGGAATAATAATAACATTTCCTGCTATTATACTAATTGGGAGAGAGTAAATAGGCTTTTGCTAGCTCATGTGTTTAACGGTGGGTCCCGTACAGTATTTGGCAAGGTGCTAGAAGACAGGAGGGTGAATACAGACCCAATTGCTCTGAAGAGTGGGCAAATCAAAGAGGCCCCTCAGAGCTTCTGTCAGGATAAAAGAGCTCAGTGGCTCAAAGCAGGACAAAACCATCAGCAAAACTGAGCCAAAGCTCAATGTGTTGAAATGAAATATGTACTCCAGATTCAGCTGCTAGTATTAATTCGATGGTGGTCCTTTTTCTGTGGACTATTTTTTATTTTTTGGGAGGGATTCAAGAAGCAGTTAGGTACAACCTATAATAAAATTTGGAAGATGAGGAAAGAAAGCTAAATGTGCTGTTCTGTACAAGACAGAAGAATTTTCTACTCACATGCCATAGAGCCACTTCATGTTTTTAACTGCATATTGCTACCTAACCCATTGGGTCTCTTAATTTAGTTTCAGTCTGTTTAGGTATTAAATTCATACTGGACAAAGAAGTTTTGTTTTGTTTTGTATAGACATCTTGTGCCGGAGCTGGGATGCCACAGAGCCATTTCCTTTGCTGTTCCCCTCTTAAATGGGTTCACACCCTCATAGTCTATAGAGTAGGACTCTCATATTCACAGGGGAATAATTCCAAGTCCCCCTCACAGATGCTTAAAAACAGTGATTATAACTATACTATTTCCCCGAATATAAGACCTGACCTGAAAAATGATGCTTTTTTCAGGATGCTCGTAATATAAGGCCTACTCCAAAAATATGCCCCAATTAAGTGAAACCTTACCCTCCACCATTGTGCAGCAACCAGAAGAAGAAGACATGACTGTATTTGAATAAGTGTAGATTGTTGTACATGAAAAAAAGCCCTAATGCGTTCTTTGGAGCAAAAATTAATATAAGACCCTGTCTCATATTCAGGGAAACAGGGTAACACTATACATAGCGTGATCTTCTTCATGTGAGGCAAGGGATGAGGGGGATAGTATATATTTATCTATATATTTATGTATAAATAGTGATAGATGTCATTTATGTATTTGTGTACAGTGGTGGCCCGCATAGCGAGGTTAATCCGTTCTGGATTAACCTTCGCTATGGGGAAACATCGCTAAACGGAACGGGGAGACCCAGCTATGCGGATTCATCGTTAAACGGTGCACTTGTTATGCAAGGCACCACTGTATTTGTCCTGCAAGTGCTATACATAGCATGGTTTCTGGCTCCCTCTAGTGACCATTTCTGGTAACTTCATCTTTAGAAATATATATTCCTAGAATTTTTTAAAAAAATATTTTTTATATTTTCAGACTATGGGTAAGTGAATCAGTGGATACTGATCCTGTGGATAAGGGGGTCCTGAGGCACTTCTATATAAACACTTCTCGAGGTCGCGAAAACGCTGCGGGGGGCCATTTCGGGTCATCCGCGGCCATTAAAATGGCTGCAGGATCCTGGGGCTTAATGCTTCACCAGTGCTCTGAAAGCATGCATTTGAAAGTCTCTGAATCGCTACTGTTATAAACGTAGGTTGGGCAACCTAGACTGTTGGCCTGAGCTGGTTCAAACACTCTATTTACATAAGAAGATCAGAAGAGCCCTGCTGGATCAGGGGTAAGTTGCGATTGGGGCAGCTCCGTATAGCGATCCCCAAAAAGGGATCGCTATACGGATTCTTCGTTATACGGTGCGCTCGTTAAGCGAGGCACCACTGTATACAGTGGTGCCCTGCATAGCGAGGTTAATCCGTTCCGGATTAACCTTCGCTATGGGGAAACATCACTAAACGGAACGGGGAAACCCATTGGAACCCAAATGGGCCCAAAACTCACCGTTCTGCGATGTTCCCCCATGTTCTGGTGGCCATTTTGGGTGTTCCGGTGGCCATTTTGGTTGTTCCGGCAGCCATTTTGGGTGATCCGGTGGCCATTTTGGAACCGCCGAACAGCTGTTCCCCCATTGCAATGCATTAGCGATCGCAAAATCCGCATCGCTATGCGGATTCATTGTTAAACGGTGCACTCGTTATGTGAGGCACCACTGTATTTGTCCAGCAAGTGCTATACATAGCATGGTTTCTGGCTCCCTCTAGTGACCATTTCTGGTAACTTCATCTTTAGAAATATATATTCCTAGGATTTTTTAAAAAAATATTTTTTATATTTTCAGACTATGGGTAAGTGAATCAGTGGATACTGATCCTGTGGATAAGGGGGTCCTGAGGCACTTCTATATAAACACTTCTAAATGTTTCCCACTGTGTGCCCAAATAAGTAAATTGTAATCTGTGGAAGTTTACACTGAAATAAATCTTTTGGTTTTTAAGGTGCCATGACTCTTTCCATATGCATTTTTGTTTTACTTGCTTGTCCTATGGGGCTAAATCTTTGAAAATTTGTATCTCTGGTTACTGGTACATGTGAAGAGGCAATCACTCTTTCAGCCTGAGTTCGTTTCCAAGTTTACTGTGAGACTAAGTGGGCAAAGCAGAACTGTTAAGCTCATTCAAAGAAAGGTGGGGAATACTGCAACTTCTAATAAATATATTTTCTTCAGCTTGAAATACTGTGTATTTCCCAAAAGGGCATAAAGTGTACACAACGCAATACTTTTTGTGCTATTTCTACAGGGTTTCAAAGATCCTGTTTACCGGGCCAGAAGAAAGGAGTTTGCGGACATAGCCTACAACTACAGGCAGTAAGTGTGCAAAAGAAACAAAATTTACCCTAAAGAAGAACATTTACGATGTAGAAGGGACATTCCCCTTTCTTTGTGTAATAGAGATTTGAGGGAGAAGGGGGTCTTAGCAGTTTTACAGCTGTTAGATCCTTTTGCCTCTTTCTCTTTTCACTGGATCTTCCTCTGTGCTGATTTGATGACTCACCGGTTTGGGTATGGAGTTTGATTCTCCTCTATGCCTCCTGTGAGTAGAGTCAGCCTGTGTGGCTTTGGGCAAGCCACACAGTCCCAGGGTGCCCCAGAAGAAGGGAACGGAAAACTACCTAGAAACCCCTGGAAAAGGTTGCTATCAGTAGGAACCAACTTGATGGCACACAATTATCTTCCTCTCAGCCATGTTCAGTCCCTATGCACATCTATCATAGGATGTGGGAATGGGTGAGGGGAAAAAACACTTTTATTTGCTGTTGAAAACACATTTGAATGCTACAAAATGATGGGTGCTTGTAGAAAACACTTTGAACAGCATCAGCATTCACAACTTGATTAGAGATGGGTGTGAACCACAAAAATGGTGGTTTGTGGTTTGTGATTCAAGAACCATGAATCATCCAAACATATATTTTTTGAAAAACGAAACACAAAATGGTAGATTTTTTAAAAAAAAAAGTTCATGTCTGGGAGGAGGAGAAACTAAGCTGGCACTCCTTTCCCACTGCCCCGTCGCCTCACTCCCTGGTCCTGCCACCTCCTCCTCTTCTTCCATCACTGCAAATGGGCAATCTGGTGCATTGCAGTCCCGACCCAGTGCTGCGTGGCCTTGATCCAGCACTGGAAGGTGCTGGGTTGCCCATTTGCAGCCCCACAGCCTCCCCCTACCCCCTTCCCATTGCCCGATCGCCTCCCTACTTGGTCCTGCCACCCCTCCTCTTTCTCCATCACTACAAATGGGCAATCTGGCAACACACCATCCTGTTTCAGGGCTGTGTGGTGCTGGACCACCCATTTGTAGCCCCCACAGTCTGCCCGTTGCTCCTGTCCCCTCCCTCCCTGGTCCTGTCACCTCCTCCTCTTCCTCGTTATACTGCCCGTGCTCCACCACGGCCATCTTGAGAGTCAGCAGCTGAGTTTCCCTTCCAGAAGCCAGGCCCTTTCTCAAAAGGGAAGCCAGACCTGCTGTCTCTCAAGATGGCGGGGGAGGTGGAGGACGAAGAATAGAAGGAAACAGGATTAGCTAGGAGGCAAAAGGCAGTAGGAAAGGAGAGGCAGGCGGTAGTGGTGGCAGGGAGCGAACCAGGAAGTTCATTAAAATGGATTAAAAAAGTTGTGATGCAGGTCGGTTCAGGTTTCAATGAATCTGAAGCAACCCAAACCAAGAAACCAGCAACTTTTAACAAACCTCCTGGCTCGTTTTTTAGTTCATGCTCATCTCTAGACTTGAGCAGTGTTTTACTTTGTTCTTCTTCATGGCCTCTGAGAATCACACCCTGGGTGATCCGCGCCTGTGCGGAGCCTCATCGGAAAGTTCTAGAACTTCTGCGGTAGCAAAAAACACATTAGAATAAGGCCCCTCCCCCTTCCTATAAGTACCTTGATGCCATGCAACTCATAGCAAAAATTCCAACATGATCCTCCAAAACAAACATCTTATACACCCAATTTCAGAAATCAAAGAAATAAACCCCGCCAATAATCCATTACTCTGCCCAACGACTGCAAGCCCAAACATAATGTTTAATGCTCCTATGGCCAAGATCGCACACCACTCCAGCCATCCTGCCCTCTGAAAACACCTACCTGTCTGGGAATCCATTACTACAAATGTCTGGGTACTGTCCATCATCTGCGACAGATAGTGCACCCATTTCTTCCAACTTCCTCCAGCAACACACGTCATCACTCCACCATCTCCAACCTTACAAGAGGAAATAAGAAATTTACTCCTCAAAGATGCCATACAACCTGTCTCACAACACAACAAAGGGTTTTTTCCTCGCTATTTCACTGTACCCTAAAAGGACAGAGGTCTTCGCCCTATCTTAGACCTATAAGACTTAAGCAAATACATCATTACCACAAAAATCTGTAGGGTTACCCTCGAATCAGTTCTCCCTTTACTCTGCAAAAATGAGTGGTTCACTGTCATAGATCTCAAAGATGCATATTTCCCGGTCTCAAAGATGCATCCTTCCATATTTCCATACATCCCTCACACAGAAAATTCCTTCAATTTCAGCTAGGATCACAAGCCTACCAATTAAAAAGGCTTCCTTTTGGCCTTGCAACAGCTCCAAGAGTATTTACCAAGTGCATGGCACCCGTAGCTGCTTACCTCAGGTTGCAAAAATTTCTCATTTCTCCATATATCGATGGTTGGCTCCTTGTAACTCATTCCAGTTGCAAGGCCCAATGAGACACTCACTTCACCCTTACCCTCCTTCACAATCTTGGTCTCGCTGTCACTGAAAAAAATCAAATTTGAAACCTACAAAGATTATTCATTAAATAGGCGCATGCATAGATTCCACACAAGCTCACGCCTTTCTTCCTCCGGAAAAGAGAGAAAATCTCATAGCATTACTTCAGGTTTTCACCCCTCATGCTATGGCACTCACCTTCACTGTGCAGCATCTACTAGGCACCATGGCCTCTATGACTTCAGTAGTGCAGCATGTACAGTATGTCTCAATATGAGTTCTCTTCAGTCATGGTTTCTCGCCCTCTTTGACCCTCTCACAGACCCTCCTCACACTCTTTTAAAGGTCACCCCAGAACTTGCTTCCCAACTTCAGTGATGGCATTTTCCTCCCAACCTATCCGTCGGGCGGCCATTCCAACAACCACAACCACAAATACAGGTCACCACCGACGCCAGTCTCATAGGCTGGAGAGCTCACTGCAAATATCTCAAAATCCATGCCAAGTGGTCTTCCAGAGAAAAATTGCTTCACATCAATAATTAGAGCTGTTGGCGGTTATAAAAGCTCGCAAAGCTTTCAGAAATCTCCTTGCTGGCAAGATGGTACAAATTGCCACTGACAACACCACAGTGATGTACTATATTCTGAAACAAGGTGGCACCCGCTCTCCAAGTCTCCTCTATTTCACAGTCAACCTCTGGGAGTGGTGCCTGGCACATCATATCTGCCTCATGACTTTACACATTGCTGGCCACGACAACAACTTGGCTGATCTACTCAGCTGCACCAACTCACAACCTCATGAATGGGAGCTAGACCAATCAGTTTTTCTTTGCCTATGTGAACGATGAGGCAAACCAACTCTCGACCTCTTCACCGCCTGTGTGAATCGGAAGTGCAAACGATACTGCTCCTGAGCCAGCACTGGCAAACACTCCCAAGGAGATGCATTTGTCAGCTGATGGCCCAAGACCCTCACCTTTTTCCACCGTTCCCGCTTCTCCACAAGGTCGTGGTTCACCTATAACAAGACAAACCCGATGCCGTCGTTATAGCCCCTTGGTGGCCGAGACAACCCTGGTTTCCAGTCCTTCACAATCTCTCATCAGACATTCACCACCTCCATCACCTGCCCCACCTCCTCACGCAGAACAATGTCCAAGTACTCCACCCAGACTTACCTGTTCTGCACCTGTCAGCGTGGAGGATTCCACTTCACTAATGAACGTCCTCCATCAATCAAAGATGCCCTCCACTAGAGAGGCTTACCTGTATAAATGGAACAGATTCAGATCTTTCACTGAAGCTTCTTCATTGCCCTCTATCAACCCTTCACTTGCTACTGTTCTCTGTTTTTTGTTTTTTTTTTTTTGCTTCATCTCAAGTCTAATGGTCTTTCCCTCTCTTCCTTGAGAGTTCACCTCTCAGCCATAGTTTCTTATCAGCCCCCTAACTCTGTGGCAGCTGATTTCTTCAAACATCCAACACTGAAATGTTTTCTTAAAGGTCTATCTCATATCTACCCAGATACCTGCCCGCCTTCCCCGCAATGGTCACTAACACTAGAAGCTAAAGGCTCCTTTCGAACCTTTAGCTTCAACCGATTTATGGCTACTTACCTTTAAAACAGTTTTCCT